ACACACACACACACACACACTCATACATAGATGTAGAAGCACACATACTCTCTCACACACACACACACACACACACACACACACACACACACACACACACACACACACTAACAAACAAACAATCACACTCACGTTTGTTTCCTCCTCTCAACTGACCCACTTCCTCCCTCCAGATGCACGTGCCCCTCGGAGAGCGAGTGTGAGCCCGTCTGGTGTCCGGCCGGCTTCCAGGTCCAGGTCATCTCTCGAGCCTCCAGACTCCCTGGCTCTTGCTGCGACCGATTTCGCTGCGTCAACGGTGAGTCTTCCTTTACCTTTACTTTTTTACTTTTTTCCTTCGTCTGGGTGGATGGTTGGCGGGTGCTCTGGTGTGGTTTGCTCCTTCTTTCCTATCAAACAACTATCGTCGTCTTTATCTCTCCTCCTTCTTTTGTGTTTGTTACTCTCTTGTAACACCTGTAGTCTTCGGCACTTATATGACCTTATTGTGTTGCTCTGGTGTGGTTTGCTCCTTCCTTCCTATCAAACAACTATCGTCTTTATCTCGTCCTGTAATCTTCTGCGCTTATGTGACCTTATTGTGTTGCAAGTGCCGTAAAACCCTTACTAAGGCCTCCCTCTGGTATCCTTAAGATATCGAGGGGAGGTGCAGGTTTCGGTCCTGTGCAAGGTGTGTAGCGTCTGTGATAGATATGTTATTCCAGGACCTTTTTAACCCCATCCATCCAGGTCGTTTTTAGTCTCCTTCTTGATTTGAAGCAGGATTCTCGGGTGTTGTAAGCTTTTGCCGCTAGCTGTTTCTGAGGCATTCTGGTTAGATGTCCAAACCATTTGACTCTTTGACGCTCTATGAATTGTATTATTGGTGGTACAACCTGTATGTAGACGTATGGTTTCGTTTCTTATGCGGTCTCTTCTGGTGAGGTTGGTGGTTTTACGGAGACATCTCATTTCGCATGCGCATGCATTGCTTTTTCTTTCTTGGGCCTTGTTTAGAGTATTTCTTACAAACATTTTGGGGGGAAAGGTCTCCTTCAACACCCTCCCCTTTTCACGCCACCACCACCACCCCCGCTCCTATATATAGAATTTTGATAAAAGCATGACGTCACAGCTTTTTTATATGAGCATGACGTCACAGATGCCAAAGTGGAGACACCCCCCTCCCCCCACT